CTTGAAATTGAATTAAATATATTGTCAATGTGCTAGCATAGCCATCAAAACAAAGTGATAGAAGTTTGGCACAAGTGGGAAGAGGGAAAAAGAGGAGAGTTGAGAAGCAGAGGAACGAGAAGGAAGTACGAGCTGACTGTCAGTTTAAAAAAGACAGACTGAGAGGAGGAGAAGTTGGCAGCCATGTTGACAAAGCAAGTTTTCCGATCAAAACTTTTCAGAGACTAAATCAAAACTCCAGGGCTTGGGTTCTAGAGATGTAATGGTAGCTTTAAAACTGGGGTTCCTAATTCGAACAACAGGAGGTAAGATAGCGAACAAATCAAACTACAACATTCTGTTTTTATCTTATCAAAAAACATGTTATTATTTGTTTAAGAAAGAGCCCTGTGAGTCACTATTTGAGGCTTTGGGCTTAGAGCTGATTGTCTGAAAAAGCTGATCTGTAAAGGCATGTGAAAATGGAACCAAACTGCTGAGAGTGAGGAACGAGTTACATGGGTTTTTGTTCCAGTGAAATGTTTTTGTGTGTTGAAAGTTACATACCCCAGCTTTAACATTGACCTCAAAGTCTATCATGGCACTGAGGCTTTTACAAACTCCTCATGTCCAAAACTGCCGGAACAAAGCTGGGCCAATCATCATTTTTCCTTTCTCTTTTTGTCTCTTTTGAGTTTTTAAAATACACTTTTGCCTAGTTCCAAAGTCTATTTTTTGTCCCAAACATCTGCTGCTTTTTCAGAGATTGATTGAAGGTTGAAGGTTCTATTATTAAGGCAAACAGAAGCAGGCTTAAAAAGTTCAAAGTCATTCTTTTCTCAACACACTGGCGACAAGTTCTGGCTTGAAATGTGAAATTGTGTGAGGACAATTGGAAAGCTAAAAATGTTAAGAACAAAATTAGACCAAAACACGCTGTCGTCTTCTTATTAGAAACATGTTCTCTGTTCAGATTTGGGGTAAGAGCTGAGTTAGAGTGGTCCTCCCTTTTCCACTTTCCTGTCTGACAAAGCTGATCTACAGAGGCCAAAAATGTGTGATTTTACCAAACTAGGGGTGGCAATCAATGAAAATGTGGTAATTCTTAACATTTTGCGATACAACATATTCGATTCTGCGATATATTGCAATTCATGTTCCTCATAAAATTCAAAGGCATTACACAAATTGAGGGAAATAAAACTCAACTCAAAAGTCACTTTTATTATGGTCTACACATTAATTGAAGTGCAAAAAAGTTATCCTTGAACATTCAGGACCTTATTACAGACTAATTATTATCTGAAAAGGCAAACTCTCACATGAACAGTAAGCTCCCACCACATAACTTACATTATTCAAATACAAACTTTACTGTGTAGATTTGATTGCGTTTGCAAATTATTGCGATACTGAACAGAATTGAGTTTTTCCCCACACCAATACCAGTTACATGGATTCCTTAAAACCAGAGGAACACACATAGACTGATGATTTCTCCTTTCTCGCTGTAGATTGTGGAAAATACACCGGTGTTCCAAAGTCTATTTCTTGTCATAAAAATCTGCTGCTTTTAAAGAGATTGATTGAAGGTTGAAAGTTCTAATATTAAGGCAAACAGGAGTGAGCTTAAAGAGTTCAAAGTCAACGTTTTTGCACCACAGTGACAAAATGTTCTGGCTTTAAATGATGTGACAATTTGAAAGCTGAAGGCTACAGACTGCGGAGACAGACCACTGCAGTGAGTCTCATTCCATTGTGTTTGGTTGTTTTTTTGGCCTCAGAAATCAGCAATTACCAATTATCTCCATTCAGGTGAACTCGTGGCTGCTGTGTCAGTCCTGCCGCACACAAAAGGGAACGAAATAATGTTGTTTTTACATCTGAACATACAACATGCAAGGCTGTAGGATTCATCGCAATTAGCAATGACAGTGATATATTTTATGTTCTTTCCAAAACAAAAATGCACAACCAAACTATATAGAAAAAATGTCTCCTATGCAGACACAGGGAGAACATGCAAACTCCACTTTTATCTGCTCAGCTTCCGGGTTAATCCTGATTTGAGGTTTTTTTTAAAGCCCAGAATGTGACATGAAACAGTTACTGAGCTGGAGGAATTTACTTCTCAATGTAAGTCAATAGGAGCCAGAGCGAGTTGAAGCCAAACTTTGTCCACGAGCACTTCCCTATTGGACAATGCTAATCCTCAAGCTCAATAATGTCGATCTATTTACAATCTACGAGCTCAGCAAGAACAGAGAGCACTTCGAGGCATAGCATGAACCAGTCAAAGCCATAGTTTCAATTCGTATAATAGTAATGACCGCACTGTAATCATTGTCTGTATTTCACCTCCATTATTTAAATGTATTACTTTATCATTTTATTGTCATATTTTGAAGGTGAGCGATCCCTCTTGACGTCAGGCTGTTTTCTTTATCAAACCGCTTCTCTCCAAGTTGAAAAATTAACTAAGAAAATACCATGAGTATTTCTTAACTTGGAAATAACAAATTATACTTTGTGCATGGATCAACAACTCATTTTTTCCATAACTCAGTTCTGACTGTAAGATATTGGTGTGAAAAAAGAGAAAAAACAACAGCTTACAATGGACATTTGCAAGAAAAGAACTGAAATTTGGCTCCATTCCTAAAATCAAGAATTTCCAGCAAATTTTTTTGCTTATATTTCAGCCTTTTATTGTGCCTTTTTTGTAGCTTTTTTGGGTCTATTTTTACATATGAGTAAAAAAACGTAAGCAATGTTTAAAAAAAAATCTGAAATAAATATTGTCAATTAACACAATGTTCTTTGAAAAAAAAAAAAAAACACAAATCTTCCATAATATTTTGTCAGTAAGTACAGCTCTATATGAAATTTGGCATGGGAGGCATTCATTTTGCACTATGCTACAGCAGAGACCTCTTCTAGAGCAGGGATCATTAATGGAAATGGGAGCTTCCACTCGGCGCCTGCTGTTTGGAGTTTTGAGTGGGCGAGTCACTGCTGAATGTGAAAAAAACCCTCCCAGGATTCACATAAAGCCGTGAAATAAGCTCTTTCTGCCTGCGGAGGAAATATTCTAATATAAGCTGTGGATCGCATTGTGTTTGGGGAAAAAAAGCCTGATTCAAAACTATGTAGAATTCTCCCTTTTTTAAATGAAGGACAAACAAGAAATGTGATGCAGCTGTTGCAGTGGTTTCTGAATAGATTTTCAAATGAAATTTCAAATGTTTTTTTTTCCTTTTCCATTTTGCTGATGCCTATTGTTACAGTCTTGGCTCAGTGGGTTCAGTCCGTGTCATTCATTTCTGTGTAATAGTGTATTTGGTGGCTGGCACACTGGATTTATTTAAGGTAAGAAAAGAAAGAAATCATACTGATATTGAATAAAAGCTGATAAATCCAGAAAATACTGATCTGTAACATGTAATATGAACAAACAAATATACTATTCACGCAGTATCCAACTGTTGTGGTGTAGAGATCACAGCATCTGCAGTCAAAGCTCTCGATTTACCGGCCAATTTTCTTTCCCACCCTCACCGCAGGTGAGCTTTAGGTAATGATTGAGAGGAGAATATCGTGGATACAAGTGCTAGAAATGAGTTTTCTCTGCAGAGTGTCTGGGCGCTCCCATAGAGATTGGGGGAGAAGCTCAGTCACATGGGAGGAGCTCAGAGTTGAGCCCCTGTTCCACCACGTTGAGAGGAGCCACTTTAGGTGGATTGAGAGAGGGATCCGCTTCCATGGACGCACAGTCCTCAGGCTGTACAACCAGGACTGAGGTCTGTGTGCGTGTGGGACGGAAAACTCCTAGGCGAGGAGCGCAGTGCAGCCCTGTGTTTGGGCTGGAGAAAACCAGTCCACAGGGACAGGTGACAATGGGACAGCAGGTAAATAAGCAGGTAGAAGTCGTTATGATTACTAATAAAGGGGGAAGTTTAGCATTTTCTCCAAGCAAGGTCTCTCCATATGCAGTTTGACTATTTGTGTTTTTTGACTTAAGCCTGGTTCACGCGAGACGATTTTAAAATTGTCGGCCGATTTTTTCCTCCGTGTGAGACCCCACACACGGAGATAAAAATTCACGGGTCTAACCACTTTGGTTGTACAGACACCATGAGGACAAACACATACATGTGGATTTTACTGCTCTACAGTTCTCTGGCCCGTACTGTCTGTGCTGTTCAACAATACAGTTTGTACGGACTACCTGTGAACGCATCACACACACTGCTAGACATGAAACTTTATATACGCGCAAACTAACAAGCACGGCTGCAGTAACGCTTCATCAACACGTCTGTACTGTATTAGGACAGAGTACAAAGTAAACGTACAAACACAACCATCAGTCTGATCATTTAGTGTACTAATCCCGTCCGAATAGGGCTTATGCCAACACTACCTGTGCAGCAGCAATTTCTGCCCAATTCCTCTCCTTGTCATTTCGGTGTTCTTTACACAACACGTCATACATACATTTACGGTGTTGCCAGAGGTCAACTAGTTGTTCCTCCATCTCTGATGTCCACCGAACTTTCCGGTGCGCCAATGCCGCTGACTCTTTTGTTTTTTTTACGGCGTTTCCTCGCCGGCTTGTCTCGTCTTCTGATTGGCTACACGCCGCAGTCATGGCAACTCACTCGTCTGTCCCCGGGGGACACCACACACAGAGAGAAATCGGGCCAAAACAATCCAACATGTTGGATATCCCCGATATTGAGATCGGAGCAGTCCCGAAGTCCTTCCGAGCGACGAGCGCAGTCTTAACATGGCAGGAAAATCCATCAGATTTTTTGTTACGATATTCGGAGCGTTCTTACGATTGTCGTAGGGGTAAATCGGGTCCAAAACCGGCCTAATTATCTTGCCGTGTGAACCAGGCTTTAAGGTTTTCTAATCATCCTCTGAAATGTGTCATGTTATAAGAAAACCGTGTGTGGTGAAACGGGCAAAGTGCATCTTGTGAATGTGTGTGAAAATGTGAGTGCATTAAAACAACATCAGAGACCACCACAGCTGCCACCACCTGTGGTAGTATTTCCTGTGGACAAGAGCCCAGCGCCTCGGTGCTGCTGCTCTCGGATGAAAGTCGACTCCTGCTGAGCAGCAGTGATGACCGCCAGCGCTGTTGGAGAGCGCGGTGCGGCAGGCCTGTTGTCACCAGAGCCTTTGGTGATGTGACAGTGTGTGGCCAGGCCAGGTGTTACATAAACCTGAATAACATAATTTATTCAATTGTTGCTTGAACTTCAAAAGTCAAAAATCCATTTTTGTGAGTGGAGTATACTGTATATAATGATGATTTAATAATATTTTTTGTTTTATTTATTATAATAAAAAAGAAAGTATAAAATATCTATCTTTGACATATTAAGGAAGCAAGTCTGAAATTTCCAACTATAACCTATTGATGAAGCAAGAATTTAGTATAAAATTTGTGGCATACTTTAGCATAATAGAGTAGCAATGATTTTTTTTTTAACTCTCTTTTAGCCATATTACAACATTGTTTCCTCATCAGTCACAGACCTGGAGTAGTTTTTAGATCCACTACAGCAGGGGTGCTCAATACGTCGATCGCGATCTACCAGTCGATCGCAAAGGTAGTATTGGTAGATCGCATTAAATAAATAAAAAATTACACATTCTAAACTAATATATACAAAAAACTCCGGGCAAAGTGGAGATTTTTGAAAACTCCGTTAATGCATTTGTGTGTAGACAGAGATAACCAGAGTTTTGCGTTCTCGCACGCCACAGTACCCCCCTAAATTCCTCTGATCACTGAAGCATGGATCATACTACCTTAAAAACATCCTCGCTCCACATCAGAGAGCAGCAAAGTGACCAGGCTTTTCTTGTGGAGTTTTCATGTCTGTTTCATGTCTGTGTAGGTTTCCTTTGGGTGCTCCGGTTTCCCCTATACCACTAAAAACATATACAATAGGTCTACAATAGGACCCCGCTCCCATTTCTGTATGGAGTGAGGGATAAATGCCCAAAAAACAACAAATTGTAATTGTAATTGCGCTTTGTGACTCTGTGTTTGTGAAAGGCGCTATATAAATAAAGATTACTTACTTACTGTTCGTTCAAAACTTCAAACTTTTCATCATGCCTCCTGTTGGGTTGTAACACCTCCCGAGTCCCATGTGACTCACGCACGGGTCACGTTAAAACAGTGTACCATCCAAATAAATGTATATATATTTTTTTTATTTTTACGAAAGGGCCCCCTGAGTCCTTCACAGATGTCCCTCCCAGATGTCAGCGTGTCTTTTGTGAAGGCTGGGAGCACGCTTCAGCTCTGGCACGCTGTGATTATGAGTCCGGGGAGACGGAGGGGACAGAGGGCGGGCCACAGATCACACAAACCATCACATTTTCTGCCTCGCTTTTGTTCCGACGGATAAAGACGGCCAGACGAGAGGGCGTGAAAGCGTGGAGACCGGCAGAGACTTCGAGGACACGAGAACAATAGAAAATCTGACTTGAATCAGACGAAATCACTGCGTCACAGTTTATCACAACTGGTTTGACAATAAGTAATTTCACGAAAGATGGATATATTTAAAGCTGTGCTATCTATAGCCCTGTTTCCACCAGCTCTGCTCTACTCTGCTCTGCTCTGCTCTGCTCTGCCTGGTTGTGTTTCCATTACGCTTTAGGATCTGGCACCGTATCGTTGCAACCTACCCACAACAGACTGGGTAATTTCCTTGGTAATCATAGCTTCAGCCAATCGCTGGTAGTTCGAACACTTTAGTACCGCTTCTCAGCTAGAAGGTCCTGCCAATCCTGGTCACAACAGGGCCATTCTGAGTGGAGTTTGCATGTTCTGCTTTTTTTTCCCCTACCGATAAAAATCAAGTACAATAGGCAACATCCTCCGCAGCTTCAGCCCTGACCATGAGAGCATCAACAACTGGAGATGTACATCTGCAACTGTTTATGTCACATTCACCATTTTGATCTTAAATAATGTGTGGTTTAGTGTTCTATCCTGGTGTTTATATTTATATTCTGTAGATTGTCTTTGTAAATCCAGATCAAATAAGGACTGACCAATCAGGTTTCTAAAGCCCAATTTTGAGACAGAAGGCTCCTAATTGTTATGACACATTCAAAGACAGTATCAAAATATGAACACCAGGATCATACCAGGAGCGAGTAACCATGGATTCTTAAGCCCAAAATGGTGAGTGTGACACAACAGTTACTGAGCTAGAGGAGTTTACTTTTCAATATACAGAAAGTCAATAGGAGCATGAGCAAGTTGGAGCAAAACTTCATCCATGATCACTTCCTTATTTTGTTTAATTGAGTATACTATACTACTATACTACTCTATACTATATATACAAATATACATATATATATATATATATATATATATATATGTATATTATATAACATATATATATTAATAGTTGGTCAATTCCCCTAAAATCTATCTCTTGTCTTACCCATTTTACCCATGTGTTTTGTAGTAGGAAACTGGACACCGAACTCACACAAAAGCTACCATTACGTCTGCAGCCACTCCATCAGTTCCCGCTCAATTAAAAATAACCTTCATTCATATTTCATTTCCGCACAAATCGTTATGTCAGATCACTTGTCCAGCTCCGGTCAATCCAAAGCGCATTAGTCCTTTTATATGAAGCTCTCGTGGCTGCTGTCTCCGTTTCTCATGGACTCTTGGTGAAGTGGGTCAGGACACTGGGCGAATTGCGACGGCTAAAAATAATATTGATAAGACATAAGTGCGGCTTGGTATCGGTGCGAGCTGGCCACTTTGTGAAGCCCCAGTGGGCCGTGCATTTATATACTCCGTGCATTTATATTGGATGGAGGGAGATGGGGGGCCAATATAAAACTATACAGCCAAATGATTTTTCCTAACGTTTACGTTTTGTCTTGAAAGCTGGGGAACCTCACTTTTTCCTTTTAACACTAGAACTCCCGAAGTTTCTCATTTTCTGATTTTTCTGATTTGTGTTTGCAAATTTGTCATGAAATTTGTCATGAAATTATCTTCCATTTTAAAGCGTTTGGTCTTTAGCAGTAGCCTGTCAGCCAACTGTTTTAGCTTCGTTTCAGTTATATTCACTAGTTTCAGCACTTTTTATGTAAAAAAATAAATAAATATATAAGAGCAGTCAAAAAGACGGCTCTGGGAGGTCTAGTAGTTTCAGAATTGGGGGAGTCAGAGTCTGTGTTATTGTGATAATTCCAACTGGCAAAATCTTTGAACAAATCAGACCATGCGGTCTTCTTCTTGTGAGTTAAAACACGTTATCTTTTGCGCGCCTGTTGTAAAGAGCCCTCTGAGTCACCATTTGAATCTTTGGGCTGAGAGCTGATTGGCTGAGTGAAGGGTGGTCCTCTCTTTTTCACTTTTCTGTCTAAAAAAGTTGATCTAAACAAGTGACAAAATACATGAATGAGAAAACTGTAGAGTTACATGCATGGATTATAATGCATTGTTTATTTTTTGTGGTTTAGGAAAGTTCTTCTTGTATTCTTAGTAGAAGTAAAGATATTTGCTTCTTCTATACCTGACAATAGTAAGTGGTAGTGATGTTATTACCTTGACATATTTCCATCTTCCTCAGAAAGACAAAAGTAAAATAAATACCTAAAGTTGTCTGGTATAGAATAACAAAAAAACTTTTTTTTTAAGGTTTGAAAGTTAGATCGCAGCTTTAATAGGCAGACATGGTTGCGATTTCTTCATAGTCCCCGTCTCCTTCCTCCTCTCTCCGAGCACACCTGATCTGCTCGCACCCGGCTCATTGATCGACCGCTTCGCACTGAGGTCGGTGAGGGTCGGAGGTCACACGGAGCCCTCCCTCAAACACTGCGTTGATTACTGGATTGTCCTTTTCTCCCGGTGACAGTGAAGTGCACGCGCTCAATGGCTGCGATGGATCACCGGGAACAAGCGTGAGACAATTAGTCTCAAATGAGAGCGAAGTAGAATGTGTGAGTGAAGCAGAAAGAGATGCTTTCAGCCTGAGGAAGATCTGTGAGAGAGGCTGAGTCTGCGTGGGGGAGAGAGTGGGGGAAGGTGTGGAAGGAAAAACAAAACAGAGGGATAGCATTTGACAGTATAGGGATGAGCCAAAAACAAAAACATTTTTATGGTTTTCCTCTAGCCAGACCAGTAGATTGGTGAAAAGGTTGATTCAAATTTCAAAATACAAGAATTTCAACCTAAACCCACCTTGTGACCTCTCTTGTCTTTTACCCAATACATACACTGCAAAAGTGTATATGTACTTGCTCAAATTTGGCAAAATGTACAGTATCTAAATTTGCCTTAAAACAAAGATTTTATTTTGAAAAGATACAAGAAATGTCTTTGAATGAGAAAAAAGCAACATTTATTGAAATGTTTTCAAATTAAGGCTGCATTACATCACTTTATTTTTGTATTCATTACAAAAAAATCAATCCATATCCATGCAGTGCATTGGGATTTGTGCTGGCGTGTCATTTTATTTTATTTCACAAAGCGAGTTAGTGCAGCTTTAATGACCTTATGCAGAGTTTTTTTTCAACATTTGTGGATATCAAAATTGCATGACAGTTAATCAATTAATGTCAATCTGAAATAGATTCAGGCAAAAAAAAATTCCTATGAAAAATGAAATGAAAAATGATGAGAATGTGTTTTTAATGAATTTAAGTTGTCTATGCTCTAACCTGTGTGTGACGTCATAGCGGGTAACGCCCATGCATTGAAAGCCATGGATCTATGCCACAGATACTCGCCTATCCTCTCTTCTCTCCACTGATGTCCAACACAATACTGCACTCTACAGGTGTCAATTGCTCATTACACATATATTGCCGTTTTTAGATTGAAAATGTGACTCAGTTAAGAATTGACCCCAATTGCTGGTATGCTAGCGCATTGACATAATCACCAAACTATCACAGCGCCAATGAGGAGTCAAAGACTAGTCGTAGTCTTCTATTCGCTGTACACCGCCTTGTCATCTTGAATATCCGTGAAAAAAGACCAAATACCAAATTGTAAACAACTTACTGCCGGTTGAAACGTACCTGCTCTGACGTCACCAAGGGAGAAGAGGCTGTGAATTTTTTTTGTTTCTAAGGGCGTTGCTATTAGCCTGGCTCTG